AGTTGAGCACGAAGCTCCTATCTAATGGCAGACATGCCATCTTATATAGAACCTTCGTTCCCATGTGGATCTGAGGATCCCCCAGATCCCTTGTCTGGATCCTGGGATCCTCAAGATCCCAAGATCCATCACGTGACTACATACAATGAAATCCTTGGATGGAGCAGCAAGCCTGCCCCACCCTTCACTTGCTATAAGAGCCCAATGATAGTGCTTAACCTGTCAGGACGCCGCCTGGTCTTCACTCGTCACATGCTAACACGTGATTCGTGACATCTCCCTCTTAGAGAAAATACTTAACTTAAAATTTACCTCTAAATTACTGTACTACCTAACCTAATTTAAGAACGCCTAGAGCCTATTAAGATATATAGTTAACCTCGAGACTAAGAGTATATATATTATTAAAATACTAATCAAGTATATAAGTCTAAATAGCTATATTTTTATATAGTCTTAGAAAATAGTACTATGATATAAGATTAAGAAGAAAAAGCTATCTATAGTAGAACTTCTATTATAAAAAGGCGTAAATATATACTGACTAGTATAATAAGGTTTATAATATACTCCCTTATATGTCACGAATCATGTGCACGCACGTGATGAGTGAAGACCAGGCGGCGCCCTGACAGGTTAAGCACTATCATAGCTCTTATAGCAAATAGGGATCGACTAGGCTAGCTAGACGATCCAAGGATTTCCTTTAGTTACTGTCACGTGATTAATGGGCATCAGAGGTGGTCGGACTGACGACCTCTGAGGAATCGGAATCGATCAGGGCGATGAGCACTGATCCGCGAGAACGAAGGTTCTATATAATACTGGCACGTCTGCCACTAGATAGGAGCTTCGTGCTCAACTTAGTTATCAATCTTATCATATTAGTTTGACATCTTTGATACAAGTAACGAGTTCACTTCCAAGTGAACAACCCGATAGTCTTCTTCTTATCATAGCATACCAACCAGCGAACACCCAGCCAAGTTTAGTTAGCCAGTTTGAGTATTCGTTACATTATAGTAAGCTTATAAGACCGGAAGCTTTCAGATGGTTAAGCTGATCCTAGAATATACAACAGATGTTAATGAGCAGCCAGCACAGAGCGGTGGAGCGACTGCACTTCAACTTGCTGCCATCAGCGAAGCATCAAGATTGCGGAACTGCTCCTCCAAATGGGCGCTATGGTCCTAGCGCCGCCGGCCAAATTGAGAGGAAAGACAGCCTTCGAAGGGGCGGCGGAGCATGGACGCTTGGAGATGCTTCGGCTTTTGTGGAACGCGGTTGGTGGAATAGGATTCATGTCTGAGGAATTAGATAGGGCGAAAGAACTGGCTTTAAGTCACGGTCATCGGGGGTGCGCTGAGTATATTGATGAACTAAAGTCTCTAGGAAATGGGCCAGTTGAGATTCTCACCTGATAGACACAGGGGTAGATCGGGTGGAAAATGTAATAATTATTGAGCAGATATCCTATAGAGACGGTAATGATCCTCTTATAGAACGCCGAGAGCAACATGTAGGTTGAAAAGTGTGTATTAGACTAAGGAGAGAAGATGTCGAGGCTCGCACTCGAACGATATACAGCTAACGCTGGCTCGTGCGACACTAGTCCTGATCCGGACTTGCTACGCCTGGATTCCAATTACTACAGTAGGTAGGTACATGGATTTCCTTAATAACACTATATACTAACCTGCCTACAAAAAGATTTCTTATAATTATACTTTTACCTTCGAATTACTCGCGAGGATAAAATACATTTATATTTACCTACAAACTCGAGCTCGAGCTCGACTCCAGAGACTTTATCTACATTACGAAGTATATAAGATTACTTTGAGAATCAACAAGAGGGGAAGTCCTTATCAGATCTGAAGAATTTTCTTTCTCTACCTACTACCAATCACCCCTCCTAACCTATCCCATCCATACCGTCGCAATCACTACAACCCCTCGACAGCTCCTTGCCCCTTACCCCAAGATCTCAACCACTCCTCAACATACACTCAAACACATCCCCTCTCTTTTCTCCCCCTCTTTCCTCTCCCCCCCACCAAGCAAAAAAGCAAGCAACAACGCCAAAAAAATGCAAGTCAACCCCCTCTCTAAAACGCAATTCCATATCTTTCCTGCGCTCGCTGAGAACGCAATACATATTTGTTAATACAAATTACAAAAAAAGAAAAAAACTCCTGAAAACTCCGGGTACAAACATTCAAAGCGTATGGCGAATGTTCTTAAGAAAGGGCCCAACCAAATGCGGAATGCAGAATGCAATGAAATCTCGCTTGCATCTTGATATAGCAGCCAAAAATAAAATAGAGGCATGATGATTGTTTCCCATCTATGAGGGTGGGTTCTGGGGACCGAAGAAATGTCCTGGCGCGTAGTGTGACCTCTTCATATCGTACTTCCAGCTCCAAAAAAATCCACGAGGCAAAGGATCCAGAGGGACTAACTTTCCAATGCAATCGATTCGACAATATTTGTTCAGCACACAGACATCTCAATTGGCAGGCGTGAGAGCGTCAAGATTGGATCAAGGCCACATACATTCGTACATGAACATCCAATCCCCAAACCAACTCTCAAACCTCCCAACCAGGGTGGAGAAAGAGTCTCCGGGACTTTTCCACGGTCGAGTATGGATCCCACCAGTCATCAAGTGACGTTTGAAACTGATGTTCATGGTGAAGGAAGAGAAAGAGCAGCCGGTGAAATGCGTACTCTTGGTCAAAACAAGGTAATCCACCAAAGCTTGTTGATCCCAACTCAGAGCTTGGAGTGTAGCCAAGTCCTGGCCCTTGAGTAAGTCCAATTTGGAGGTTACTCTCAATTGTAGTCTGTCCATAGCCTTTTCCGCGAACCGATGGCCTTCGCTTGCATTGCCGCATGCCAAATATGCGTGTTTGAGATTACGGTGTTCGGCTTCCTTCAAGTACCCTTCACTTTGCACCTCGTAGTCCGGCCAAAAACCAAGCGCATCGCTTTCTGTCCTGAGATGAACACCGAGATATGGCGCACTAAGTTTCGTAGGACTTGGCTCCACTCCAGCAAATCGTGAAAGCTCCTTTAATACCTTGATTGCTATCGCCTCCACATCCTGATTGATTCTCAGGAGGTCGCCAAAAGTGGCAGCGAATTCCGGCCCATCACGGTAGACTGGCCATTCGAAGAAAGTTGCCCACCTGAATCGGATAGTAGTTGGTCTATCCCAAGAAGCGTTATGATTATTATCCACTCTCCATTGGTCAAACTTCCCTCGGAATTGATCGAGATGCCTGTTTACACCACGTCCATCGCAACCATCCGAATCTCCCAAATCCTTGGGGTAAAACTCGACGACCTCGTTGATGGCGGCCGTATGGGGGATTTCCTTTTTACTTGGGAAAATCTTAATTTGCGGACAAAACGCGGTCATAGACGAAAGGAAGTGCTGCTCGTCGAAGAAATAGGTAAAGGGTTGAAAACCCGTGTTGAAAAGATTTGCGAGATCTTCTTCCGAACGTCGTTGGATTTGGGGCATGATCATTCCGGTTGCGCCGGCATCAATGGCATATCGTATACATGTCAAGATGAAGTTCCGGATGTTGCCTATCCCACCCGAGTTGTTGTCGCATACAAACACCAGGCCCTCGACCCATTGCGTCTCCTTGCACACCCGTTCTAACGGCCAGCCCACAAATTCGGCATTGAAATTGTAGTCGTAGAGATTGAAGGTCGAGGAAGAGGTAGGAAGGACTGGCCCGACGGCGGAGGGGGGAGGTGATTCGGACTTTGGTGGAGGTGCATGTCCTCCGTCGACGGGATTTGGGGGAGGTGGAATGTGATCGGTGGGTGGTTTTGGCGGTGGAAAGGGGCTCAGGTCTGTTATGGACTGATCGAAAAAGAAGTGAGTGATGAGCAGAATATTGGCCAGGAGGCCGGCGACCAAAACATATCGGTACTTCCACCACTTGATCCGCCAGATTCCGGTGATCATGTCGTCTCGTTGTACCATGATGAACGACGTGTTGTGTGTTTTCCTGACTTATGTCTAGCGACCTACGTCTAGCCTCCTGGAGCGCAGGAATACTAGTACTCGTACCGTCGCGTCAATGGGCGGGATATGCTGGCGGAGATGTCGGTGTCGGTGTTGGTATTGGTTGGTCGGGGACGGGTTGAGGAGAGGTTCGAGAGTCGAGGCTAATGTATCGTACGAAGTATGCTTTCGTATCGTGTCGTAGCGTCTCAACGTGTTGTGTTGGTGGTGCCTTTAGATGGTCAATGTTTGTTTGTTTGGAAGCAGACTCAGCGGCAGAGGCAAAGGCAGATTCCGTCGCATCCTTGAAGAGATGTGTTTTCTTTGGCCCCAGGAAACACAGTGCCTGGGTCTGTATGGGGAAGATCAGATGAGGTGAGATGCGATATGCGAAATGCTGATGGACTGCCGTGGCCGAGTTTGCCCAGACTTGGGCCAACCCAACATTGCCGTACTGTACAACACCCCCCCAACCCCGTTCAGCTCAGCCTGGTGCCTGGTGCCTGGGGCGACCGCTGAGCACCGGTAGTCTGGTCCAACGGTCCAACCGACGCCAGCTCACTAGCTCACTGGATCACTGTCACTGGCTCGCCGGCTCGCTGGGAACGACGGCACAGCAGAGCTACGCCGCACCTTATCATTAGCCCAACGTGCCATACACTATCAATTTTAGGCTCTCACTAATTTTCCACTGTACGTAAATATCTACGAGTACGCAGCAAAGCATTGTGCCGCACACGTTCCCAGAACGAAGAAAGATAAGATTCAATAGACAGACCAATCACTCGCATCGCCGCCGCCGTATTCCACCTGCATTCACCTATACCAAACTACACTCCTGTCACCATCACTACTCACACATCGCTTCTCCAATCCTCAGCGTCTATCAGATCAAGACACAGTATCACCACCTTCAATTCCCACCCCTCTCTCGCCTTAAAGTTACACTTCATCACTCACGAAACCCCCCAAAATCTTTTTTCGGCACCCCATCCGAATCAACCAATCACCATCCTCGATAGGAATCATGCCAAGGCTGACGATAGCTTCAGCCCCCTCTTTTTCTGTTTGAGACGGCATCCTCAGCCTCGCGAAGGATTTCCTGTGACAGGGGTCTGCTGGACGATCGTGTGAGGGGGTTCGGAAGGTACGAGTGTGCAGTTTGATTTGTTGGGAGATTGTTGGCATTTTTTTCTCTGCAATCGTGTGGAGGTACCGTATGTTGGATTTTAATTTTTTGGGGTAAGCTTGTTGTGTTTGTTAGGCATGTGATTTTGGCTGCCTTTGGTGTAGCTTTCTTTTCACGGTCTGGGAAAAGGAAAGTTATAGTCTTGAAATGCTAGCTAGGAATTACTTTAGATGCGTTAATAATAAGTGTCTGGAATATTCTAGCTACTTGAAAACGACCTTCCCAGCACGTAATAAGGATAGACGGGCATTAACGGTCTATTTACTCATATTACTATTCTTTATATCCTTTTGTCAGTATCAATTACAAGACACCGATTTAGTAATTTCATCGTTGCAGTAAAGCTTGTTGTTGCCCACTTTGAAACTCATGCCAAAGCGAATCTCGCGCCTTTCTTAGCTATCTTAGCATTCTCGGAGTAGTACTATACCTACGCGCTCGCTTAAAATATATACCCTGGATTCTCAGGAGGTAAACACTTTAAAGTAGTTTGCTCTCACCTTAAATTTCATCCTTTTTTTCTATCAGGGGCCTATTAAAGACGATCTCTTATTCTTATACACGACTTTTATACCCCACTTGTAACACTTCCCGTTGTAACGTTCACTATTAAATGATACTTTGAAGGCGCAGCTAAAGATTGAAAGAAAGGTATATCCAAAAAGGCAACCAGAGAATAATTCACAAAAAGGATGTCCAGAAAAGTATAGCAGCAACGATAGAATACTAGTAGCAACTATGCCCCTTCCCTACACCAACACCCCAGGGAAAATTTCAGATGGCAGTATAGAAGATCATCAAGTATAAATGCAACCCAAACAACCCTCAAACTAGACAAGGTCTTTCTATATTTAATTACCTACGCCACCCACAAGTCCTCCTCCCATCTAACGTCTCTCCCACCTTCAAACTACACCTCCCCACCTTCCTCCCACTCTTTTCAACAGGTAGCTGTGAGGGTTGGAACCCATGATGGAGGCTCGGGCCATGCCCTCGCTAAACACTGACCAAAGTCCCTGCTCAGCACGGGCCATAACCCCACTGCCAAGCAAGTCTCTTCTATTCTATACTTTTCTGTTCTATTCTCTTGACATCATGTATTTGTTAAGCAGTTTCTTGGAATATTCTAGAAGCTCTTCCTCTCTCTATATATAGAGAAAGAGCTTGTATGTATGTAGTCTTCACGCACTTTTTAATTGAATATTCGAAACCACACCTTTGAGCTACTCGAGGTCTGGCCTCTCACAGTAGCGTAGAACCGTCTCGCCACAGCAATACAATCCACAATTGTAGAGCATAGCAATTAACATTAAACCCATGGCCCGATAATGGTGCTCTTTTGGAATTACACAGTAATGATTTCTTGATCTCATAATTTCAGAAAGAAGATTGGATCAGTATTGAAGATTACTATAGCGTTCATGTTACATATCTAGAAAAAGCTATCAGGGATGAAGATTTCTTCGACGAGAGAACATGGAGGTGTCTATTTATACTACTTATTCCTTGGAACTCTCTTCGCTTAGTTCTACTGTACAATCAACACATGACAGTATGGGAGGTGAAGTCTTGAAGTCTTTAACCCATAACCGGAGCTCTGAATGTATTTTAATATTCCGATATAATTCTAATATCTATTACTATCCAACTTTCCCTTGACTTCTCACCCTAACGATATAACACCTAAAACCCCCTTTCTTCTTCCTACTATAACTCTTAATCCCGTAGAAAACAAAAAACAACCGATATATAAAATATGAAAAAAGGAGAATAACGGGCTATATACAAGTCCTTCTTTCCCACTACTACTTTTCATTACTTATAATAAGAAATTATCTCTCTATTGCGTTTTTAAATACGCTACATATTTCCCTCTTCTCTCTGGTTTTCTAACGACGCCTGGAACTCCTAAGAATCAGTGAATCCTTTTTGATTGGTTGGAATTTATAATGTGTTATATAGGATGAGATCTCAATTTTCGGTCAGTCGGTCAGTGTGAATATGATTCTGTAGGGTTATAATTGGATTCAGTGCGAATTCGCGCTTAGGGGAGGCGTGGTGAGATTTAATTTTAGTAGATGACAGTACTAGTATATAGGAAATGTCGCGAGTGGGGTTGGGATAAAAGCTAATTTTATTACAATACGTTGGATATGCACGATCCTTTGGGTTTTGGTTGGAGATCTTGAACGGGGTGGGTTTTGATTGGGAAACGTTTTTTGGGGGTAGAGGATAGGCTGTCGGTGATCCGGGTGTAATGGTTGCAATTCATGGATGAATAGGGGCATAGAAAAGGATAGTTGCAAAGGGGATCAGGGGGAATCTTGTATGCTTGTTAGTGGTGAGGAATGTATGTTGGGCAACGGTAGGATGTCATGCGAAGTGAAGTCCGTCGACATTATACTATCCTCCTGTAAATATCACTGGAAGTTTCTTTTTTCCTAGGAATAGAGAGGTTTCTGCTTTCAACTTGGCCCTTCCCTTTCCGTTAGAGATAAGGAACAAGGAGGGGAAGCGATTTCTGTTATTATCTGCCTTGATATAGTAATGCGATCATGGTTTGTTATACATGGTAAGAGAGGCGAGCATTGCTCTGTTTACACTATCGAAAGTTATTTTATCAAAACTCTGGCACAACTTAATTGTCCTATTTCACCTAGCACAATAAGAATTGAAAAGTAACAATTGCTGTAAAATACTCGTATAATTGGTATTGGGTTGAAAGGGTATTGGGTACTGAAGGTCATGGAGAATTGATTGCATTGTAAAAGGTAGCTATCTAAGGTGTTTATATAAAGAGTGTAAGGTTTAGGCAGACATGAAGCATTTAGGCAGCAGAGCTATAAGTGAATCAAATCAGGAAGTGGAGCAAAAGAGAAAGTAGACCCAGCACAACACACCCCCCCAGGAGACAGCGTCTTATTGAAAGCTGTCACCTGATCCAAGTATCAACTGGCTAATATCTGTAAGATGTAGTTGTTGTACGAATAGAACATGCTTTTGAGGTGATAATTCCTTCGTAAAGCCGTCGGCTACCATCCTAGTAGTAGGGACCCAGTTTATATTAACGCGCTTCTCCTGTACTTCTTGCCTAAGCCAGCTCTGGATAATGTCGATATGCTTAAGTTTAGTAACAAGCTTTGGAGTATCTCTTTGTAAGAGACGAATGGTTTGTTGGTTGTCGCAGTAGATGTTTGGATTGTCCTGAATACGTAGCTCAATATAGCTAAACAAGCGTATCCACCACAAGAACTCCTTTGCGGTTGCAATAAGAGCCCCAAACTCTGACTCTGTGCTTGAGGTAGTCACATGTCGTTGTTTTGTTGATTTGTAGTGTATTGGACCTCCGTATAGTTGAAAGCAGTATCCAATAGAGCTTTTCCGGGTTTCGATGTCGTCAGCGAACGCAGCGTCGCTCCAGGAGAGAAAAAAATCCGCGCCTTGGAAGTTGCCGTCAAATTCAATTGCTAAATAAGACGTTGCTACTAAGTAGTGTAGTAAGTGGTCAACGGCGTAGAGGTGTTGAGGCGACGGATTGGTTAGGTATTCTGAGAGTCTTGAAACAGCTCTACAGATATCCGGTCTTGTATAGCAAGAAGCAAAGTTTACACTCCCAACCTTTTGCTGATATCCAGTAATTTGAGAAGAAGAAGCTGTGCCATCCCAGGGTACTAGCTTTGTTGTAGGGAGTGGTGTTTGTGGTACTCGGGTAAT